GGTTGCGGCTTTGAGGTGTTCTTTGTACAGAGACCTTATCACTCTTAGCCAGTTTGATTTTAGACCCCAGATTGGAGGAACCAGTGCATTCTTGGGAGCTATGTCAGTGCAGCCATCTTGGAGTGGTAGGGTAGTCAGAGCTCAGTTGGGTGACTCTTGGATTCAAATCCGAAAGGAGGAGATTTCCAAGGAGCCTAAGACTGATTGGACCATTGGAGAGGATGGAGGTCTACAGATGAAGGGTAGATTGGTTATGCCAGATAGTGCAAAGCTGAAGAGGGAGTTATTTTACGAGGCACACCGTACTCGGTATACAGTACATCCAGGGACTACCAAGATGTACAAGGACCTGAAGAGGCGATTTTGGTGGAGTGGTATGCGGAGAGAGATTGCAGATTTTGTGGCTAGATGTTTTACCTGTCAGCAGGTGAAGGCAGAGCATCAGAGACCAGCGGGGACACTTCAGCCTTTACCCATTCCAGAGTGGAAGTGGGCAGACATCTCTATGGATTTTACTATGGGGTTGCCGAAGTCGAAGAAGGGGAATGATTCAGTTTGGGTAATAGTGGACCGATTGACGAAGTCAGCCCATTTCATTCCGGTGAGGACCACTTATACAGCTGAGACTTATGCGAGAATCTTCATTCGGGAGATAGTTCGACTTCACAGAGTACCGGACACGATCGTGTCGGATCGAGGATCGGTGTTCACTTCACATTTTTGGAGGAGTTTCCAGGACTCATTTGGCAGCACACTATCTTATAGCAGTGTATTCCACCCCCAGACGGATGGCCAGACGAAGAGGGTGAATCAGGTGTTGGAGGACATGTTGCGGGCATGTGTCATTGACTTCCAAGGCAGTTGGGAGGATCATATTCCACTGGTAGAGTTCGCTTATAACAATAGTTATCAAGCGACGATCGGTATGGCCCCGTATGAAGCATTGTATGGGAGACCTTGTAGATCACCGATATGTTGGGCCGAGCCGGAGGATAGGTTGATGCTTGGGCCCGAGCTAGTGAGGCAGACCATTGAGAAGGTAGCTTTGATCAAGGAGCGGATTTTAGCCGCTCAGAGTCGGCAGAAGAGCTATGCAGATAAGAGGCGAAGACCTCTAGAGTTTCAGGTTGGAGATTTGGTTATGCTTAAGGTATCGCCTATGAAAGGCGTACAACGATTCGGTAGGCGAGGGAAGCTTGCGCCGAGATATATTGGACCATTTCAGATTTTAGAGTGCATTGGAGCTGTGTCATACAGACTAGATCTTCCAACATCGATGTCTAGTATACACAATGTATTTCATTTTTCTATGCTCAAGAAATACTTGCATGATGAGGAGCAACAGAGAGTATTGGATGCACCAGAGACTGAGCTTCAGGAGAATTTTACTACTGTCGAGCTTCCTGTTCGTATTCTTGCCAGAGAGAACAAGAGACTCAGGAATAAAGTGATTCCCTTAGTGAAAGTTCAGTGGAACCGAGGAGGCATTGAGGAGATTTCTTGGGAGCGCGAAGAGGACATGCGTGACGACTACCCATACTTGGTTGAGCAGGTAAATTAATTCTTATTATGTTATATATGTTACTTTATGTTATATTTTTGGTTATGTTTATATTTAACACTAAGATGGGAATATGCACGCTTAATTCTTAATCTCTTGGAACACATGGTATATATATGGGGGGTTCCTTGTTTGGATATTTCGCCCGATGTACTAGTTCCACTAGATTAGGATTTAAACGAGAATATTATCATTTTAGATCGTTAAGTGTAAATATCTCTATACATTATCTAGTAGTTCATATTTTGAGATTCGTATAATTTCCGAATTTCGAGGACGAAATTCTTTCAAGGGGGGAAGAATGTAAAGCCCCGAAAATTTTATAATAAATATATATGTGAATTATTAATAGTGGATAATTCTCTTATGAGGAATAATCATGTATATATATATATCAGATGTATATATTTATCAGTGTTTGGGAACCTAGCAGGTGTATACAAGTGAGAGAAATCGAGCGGTATAAGATCATCATGTGAAAAGCCTAACTGGGAACCTAGCAGGTGTATACAAGTGAGAGAAATCGAGCGGTATAAGATCATCATGTGAAAAGCCTAATAGAAGCATTTTTGTGCTGAGCGGTCGACCGACGCGGTCGACTATGGCGGTCGACCGATCAGCACACAGAGAGTTTCAGGTTCTGTTTTTCTTTGCGGTTTCTGTTTCGGGTCTTTTGGTTTCGGGTCGGGTTAAAGAGTTAGTATATATACCAACTCAACCCAGGAGAGCCTCTCTTCAGCTCTAACGTAAAACCCTAGCCCCCAACTCTCAAATCTCAAAACCCTAGCCGCCTCTGATCTTTGAGGAGTTTGGAGGAGTTCCAGGGGATTTCAGTAGATTGGATCTCAGGAGAATCATCTCCAAAACGTTCGTCAACACCCAAGGCGAGTATCATCTCGCCCAATCCCTCACCCCTGTTTTCCATGATCTTTATTTTGGATTTTTTTTGTTTTGGATGAGCCAAAATAGTATTTTTGCTAAGAAACGACTTCTCTATGGTATATTAATATGAATCAGATGTTTTAGTTTATAAAAAACTCACCCAATACCTGTTTGATGACGATCTAGATCTGAAATTTTGCCTAAACAAGAACTAAATCATTTTTACTGTCATTTAAACGATTTGGAAATTGTTTCTCACGTTTTTATAATACTGGAAGTGTAGATTTCAAGCCTGAGATTTGTTGTTTATGTTCAGTATGATTTTAAAACCTTAGAACTCTTGTTATCGTAGAGATTTGCAAAATTTTCGTTTCAGGTTTCGAGCTGACAGAAACCCAGATTTGGGTTTCTGTCCGCTCGGCGACCGCGACATTATTTCGGTCGACCGCCGATTATTTCGGTCGACCGCGACATTATTTCGGTCGACCGCCGATTATTTCGGTCGACCGCGACATTATTTCGGTCGACCGCCAGGTTAGTATCAGAGATCGGTCGACCGACTCGGTCGACCGACGCACTGTCTGTGACATTTTTCCTATTCTGTGTATTTTTGAGTGTTCTGTTCAGGTTTGGGAGTTTAACTAGACTAACTGACATTGGTATTTAGTCTTGCTATGTACCCATGCACAATAGATGACCTGAGGGCATCAATTGTGGATATATACACTGATATGATTATGAATTGACATAAGTAGTTTTCACTATATACCACAGCGATATTTTTTACAGTTTCTAAGTCCTCGTGTTGGACTATGATTTATAGAAGTCCTTGAGATTTGGACTGTGAGTTATGAAAGTCTTCGTGTTAGACTATGATTTATAGAAGTCCTTGAGATTGGACTGTGAGTTATGAAAGTCCTCGTGTTGGACTATGATTTATAGAAGTCCTTGAGATTGGACTGTGAGTTATGAAAGTCCTCGTGTTGGACTGTGATTTATAGAAGTCCTCGTGTTGGACTGTGATTTATAGAAGTCCTCGTGTTGGACTATAAATTCATTCCAGACCTCGTGTTGGACATTTGACACCTATTTCATGAGTTTGGAAACTACGACATGATGTTGATATGGCACTTATGTAAATAATAACATGACTTTCATGTTAGCTTTGGTATGGCATTATATAATGTTCTGAGATTTGCTGTATTTCTTTTATTATTGTTTCTGTACTAGAACCTCGGGTTTGTTGTTTAGAGATTTACAATTTGAGATACAAGGTATATACATGAGGGTTTCCTTGTTTGGATTATTTCGCTCGACGTACCTATGCTCGTGTTGTAAATTTCTAAATACTAAAACCCTCTTTAGTAGGATCAATGATTTTAGATCTATTATACATATTATCTGTATTTTCTTATACAACGAGCCCTGTTCCCTTGGGGTTGGTTGTGATGTTACTCGCTAGCGCTTTGACGCTCGTTGTCCCTCCCCCTTTCAGGTCATGAGCTAGGAGCACGGAGAGCCGCAGGTTGATAGCGAACCACATTAGTGTTCAGCTTTACTTTCTAGCTATGTATTATTTTTCTTTGGGCTCCACTGTAGTGAGGTTAGACATTTGAGAGTCTTGTTCTAGTAGTTATAAAGGCTGTATGCCTTATTTCTTATCGTCAGACAGTTGTATTTGAGACTTGTTGAGTATTTAAGTTTATCTACTCAGATCTGGATTATGTATTTCTGTATTGTTGGATGATGAGATATTTATGTGACTATTATCATTTCATCAGTCTTCCTTGTATTATCTTTTACCTGTTTTGTACCTACACCAGTTGTTGATTCTACTAGATGGATGTTAATTGTGATGGTGAAACATGTTATTGCACGGTGTGGTGCATAGCAGGTTTGACATTCTTTGTTTCACCATGGACTGCAGCCTTGTGTGAACCCAGGGGCGTCACAGTTGGTATCAGAGCTCTAGTTCCAGTATCCTTAGGATCATCCATTGTCTAGATATTTTAGAGAAGAGAGGACCGCAGTCCAGGAAAGATAACCTATTAGAAATGAGGGGAACCCCCAGGTATTTGATTGGCAAAACTCCTTCAGTAAAGCCCAAAAGATTTGCTATAGAGGTTTTTACAGATAACTCTAGTCTCCCATAAAACACAGAACTTTTTTCAGGGTTTGCAACAAGTCCTGATATTGCACTAAACTCCTTAACACATTGTTGCAGCTTTTTCACATAATAAATTTCACCTTTTGCAAACAATAGGAGGTTATCTGCAAAAACAAGGTGAGTAATCTTGAGCTTGTTACATCCTGGGTGAAATTTGAAGAGCCTGTCATTCTTTAAGGAATTCAACATCCTAGAAAAGTATTCCATTCCCAGTATAAAGAGGTAAGGAGAGAGGGGGTCACCCTGTCTCAATCCACGTTTCCCTTTGAAGTACCCATGGAGGGAGCCATTAAGAGAGATTGAGTACTTTGGAGTAGAAATACATGTTTTAATCCAGTTTATCATGACCTCAGGGAAATTCAGCCCTTCTAGCATGTCAGTAAGAAAACTCTAGCTGATAGTGTCAAAAGCCTTATTAATATCAATATTGAGCATAACTCTTGGTGATATATGTTTCCTATTATAGCTTTTAAAAAGTTCATGCGCCAGAGATATATTGCTAGAAATCTGTCTGCCTTTGACAAAAGCACTTTGTGCTTCATCCACTAGGTAGCCCATAACTGATTTTATCCTGTTAGCTAGGACTTTAGAGATGAATTTGTATAGGCAATTACAGCAGGCAATTGGCCTGAAATCTGCAGGAGTTTTTGGGCATTGTACCTTAGGAACCAAGGTAATGGAAGTGGAATTGATAGTGAACAGTATCTTTCCATTTCTGAAGAAATCCCCTATAGATTTTAAAATATCTTCACCAATGATAGGCCAAGCTGTTTTGAAGAAAGAAGCACTGTATCCATCAGGCCCTGGTGCTTTGTTATCAGACATGGAGAAGATAGCCTCTTTAATTTCCTCTTTAGAAACAGGTTTAGATAAATCCCTGACTTGAGTTTCAGTCAGACAAGGCCCAGTTTTGATAATGTTCCTGTCAGGGGGAGAAGTAGCAACAGAAGTGCCCAACAGGCTAGTAAAAAAAGAAATAAGCTCATTAACAATCTCCCCCCATCAGTAATCCTGTCCCCTCTACTGTTATAAAGAACACCCACATTATTATTATGTCTGTTCTAATTGATAGCAGCATGAAAAAAACTTGTGCTTCTGTCACCATGCACACTCCAAGCTATTCTTGCTTTTTGCTGAGAGAATGATACTTCACAGTCCAACAATTTGTTGTAAGAAGAAAGGTTTTCTTTTTCTCTCCTGATGAGTATAGTGTCTAGAGGGTTATTTTGAAGTTTTTCCTGAGTATCTTCCAAAACTAGCTTTGCTCTTTGAACCTGTTCACTAATATTGTAGAAATGTCTCTTGTTTAGCACTTTCAAGGCTTCTTTTAGCATTTTGAGTTTGGTATTAGAAACAGTAGGCAGATAATCAGCATGTTTGGTCCACATCTTGAAGAATTTAAATGATTTTTTCCCTTGCAAACAATCCTCATAGATAGAAATCAGGCCTGGGGAATGGTCTGAAAAATGAGGTAACAAATATTCTGCATAACTTGAATTATAAGCAGTAATCCATTGATCATTCACTAGAGCTCTGTCTAGCCTACTCCACACTCTTGCTTCTGCCTCTTGCTTATTATTCCAGGTATAAAAGAAGCCTAGAGTTTTCATATGGTTTAGGTGACAGTCTTTAATGCAATTGTTGAAGTCCCTAGTATCTGAGTCAGACAAGACTGCACCACCAAGCTTATCATCTTTATCAATCATTGCATTAAAGTCCCCACAGATGAGCCAGGGAACATTTCCTATTATTTCCTGAATTTGAATTAAATCTGCCCATAATTCTTTTCTGCCCTCCGTTTGATTGAAACCATATACAGATGAGATGACACAATCCAGCCTCCCATCAAGAGATTTAATTGCACAAGTAATTTGCTGGTCTGAATCATCTTTATCAATCATTACATTAAAGTCCCCACAGATGAGCCAGGGAACATTTCCTATTATTTCCTGAATTTGAATTAAATCTGCCCATAATTCTTTTCTGCCCTCCGTTTGATTGAAACCATATACAGATGAGATGACACAATCTAGCCTCCCATCAAGATATTTAATTGCACAAGTAATTTGCTGGTCTGAGATATTTACAACCTGAGTATCCAGAATTCTATGATCCCACAGAATAAGAATCCTAGCTTTAGAGGAGTTTCTAACATTTGACAACCATTTCCAGTCATTTGCAATCCTCTTGGCAGAATTTGATAATTTTGATTCTTTTATTTTGGTTTCCAGGAGAGCTATGAAAGAAATATGATATTGCAACAATTTTTTTTAACCAAGAGCCGTTTAGAGGATTTATTCAACCCCCTAATGTTCCAAAAAGACAAATTCATCTAGAATAGTCCCCCTTACCAATAACAGAGGGATCAATATCTGAGCAACTGGAAAATAATGGAGATGCATTTCTTTTAACTCTAGACCCTTGAACAAGTATCCAAGAATTATCAACATTTTTTCCAGAACCAATTATTTGCTTTGAACTAGTTTCAGATTGCTGTGCACATTCTTCAACATGCACAGCCTGCAGTAAACCCGACTTGCTGCTTATTTGTTGTATATCAACTCCATTTCCTAAAACATGCACCACATGAGCTTGTTGCATATAGTTAGGCTCCTTTTCAGTCAGTTTTGCACCAGACTATACAATACTGCTACTATGATCATTCAGGTTCTCATCATGCACAACATGCACAGAAAACCTTTCAGGCTGGAAATCATTGATACTGTTACCATTATTTCCAGAATATTGGATAATCTCTTTTCCTTTATCAACAGCCTTTATTTGAGCAATATCATGCTCATCAAGTGGGTTCAAGTTGTTCTCAGGTTTATTTTCATTGATAACAACTTTGCTTTTAGGCACCCATCTTTGTATTCCAATTTACCTCTTGCAATAGTTAGTTTCATGTCCCACTTGTTTAAAAAAGTCACATCATCTAGGTTTTAATTCATAGATCACCTTCTGAATAATATTTTTCCCCTTTGGTCCCTGAATGGAGATATGATCTGGAAGAGGAGATGGCATACTAACCTCAACAAGGACTCTAGCATATTCTAGCCTCTGCCTGCTTGCAGTTAGCTTATCAGTGGCAATAGGTTTGCCAATAAGACTAGCTATTTTACTAATACATTTAGCATTCCACAGGTTTAATCTCAGACCTGGTAACTGAATCCACATTGGATATAAGCAGTCATTTCTTTTACCTATCTCTTCATCAATCGACCAGGGTTTAAGAAGAAGTGGTCTAGATCCAAAGAACCAAGGTCCACTTTCCAGAATAATCATCATATCTTCTTTGCTTTTGAATTTGTATAAAAATAGCCCTAGTTTAAGAATACAGATCTTAGGCAAAGCCAAATGTGACCAAACTTTTTGAACAAAAGCTTCCATAGCTTTAAACTTGATATTTATCCCCAGTACTTGACCAATAAGTGCAGAATCCCAAATAGATGCATCTTCATACCATTCATCCTCCTCAAAAATCACTGTATCTTTTTCATTAGGGGGTAAAAAATTCAAATCTAGGCCACAACCAAGCTTTCTATTGTCAGAAAAGAAACTAACCCAGCTTTTCTTGGCATTGCTATTAGCAGGGACTGAATTTTTGAAGACTTTTCCAGACTCCAAGGGTGGAAAATCCATAAAAACTCTGTTAGTATTATCATTCTTTGATTCATTTTGTCCATCTGAAGAGACTTCACCAGGTATTTTCTCAACAGAAACTAAAGGAATCGTAACTTTTTCTGAATCCGATACTGAATTCAAGAGATTAGAGTCCAAGATTCTTGGAGATTTAGCAGAAAGATGTTGAGATAAAAGGAACTCCTCAGAATCATTTGCATCAGCCCAAGAAAAACTACCAGATCTATGAGATTCAGAGGGCAGAGACTTATAGAGCAATTTCTTTTTTCCCATCAAGAATCATGGTGGGGGCACACGTTAGCAACGCAAGAATCGCCCGCTAACATGCACCGTAAAAGAACCGCCAAAATTTAACACATCCTGCAAACTGTTTAGCTTAGATATTTCAAGACCTAAAAGAAAGTCATATTTGTACAATAAGAAATAATACTTACTTGCAACAAACTTCCGTTTGGTTTTTTGTGTCAATGCCAAGATTGTAATACAAACAACAACTTGATCTCATGGTAAATATTTTATCTTTTCCTATTAGGGGTGATTGGAATGCTGCAATTGTTTATACAGAATTTTTATGAAAGTAATGCTGCAATTGTAAATAAACCATTTGCAGGAAATTAATGTTGCAGTTGTAAATACAACATTTGCAGGGAAGTAACACTAAAGCAGTCGTTTGGATATTTATATCCATTGTTTGGATATTCATACTTTTATTGTAGGAAATCTATTTTCAAACTTGCTACAGAAAGATTTATAGATTATTTCTGTAAGATACAAGTCTATTATCATTTTCTGGAAAGAAATTTGACTGTAATATTTGTTACCCTTCTATTTTCTGCCAACTAAACAACCACTTAGTTCATTATAATATATTTAAGATCTATAATATATTTAGGATCATTTACTTCAACATCAAGTGTCTTACACGCTGCAAATAAAGATTTATATATCATCAACACTACAGGAAAACTCTCTTGCTACTCATGTAGGTAATAAAAATCTCTTTTATATTTTCCATGAGTTTTTAGACTGCCATGGCATTGTATCTAACTCTAGTCACTAATGGAATTTCTCAGGAGTACTTTAAAAACTAATGAAATTTATATAGGCCTTTTTCCCTGCTAACGACAAGGTTCCTTGCATCGGCAAATGTTGCGGCTGATGCAGTGACCATGCCCGCCGTAGTAATGGTGCTTGCAGTACTTGGCACACGCCGGTGTCTTGCATTGCGGACTTTCAATCTCCCACGTATATATATATATATATATATATATATATTACACTAGTATAGTGCACGTTGCACGTTGTTGGATTAATTTTATGCTTATCTTTTTTTTATAATAAGTTTGGTGTTAGATGTAATTTGAGGATTTTTTTCCATCTTTTTATCATTAAAATCCTAGAGTAAATATAATCTTTTATGAGGTTTATTTATGACATTTCAATGTCCTTTCTGCTAATTTTATGGCAAATCTGTAAAATTATGAAGTTTCAAGGTTGTTCTACAAATTTAAAGGTTCACTCTATAATTTTTTTTAAATTTTAGTTTTATGAAACCTGATCTTTCCAATAAAACTTATGGAATACTTGAAAGACATTGTTCAATTTGTGAACCTAAAAGGCATAATTCTATTTGTTTTATAATTTAATGTAATGTCTACCATTTATAATTTAGCACATGCTGGGGTTTTTTATTCACAAATTCGTAATATAGTTATACCATTAGGTAGGATAAATAACATACCGACTATTAAAAAATAATTTAAATATTTTGTATTAATTAGAAAAAGTTTAAGTTCTATAACAACTAAGATCATACTCTATCAGAGCCAAAAAATTAACCAAAATCTATATAGTCCTCTGAAAAGACTTAATCAGAGATTCTTCGATTGTTAAGAACAAACATCATAACAAAAAGTTATGGGGCTTACAGTAATATGTGTCATTATTTTGCTCTAACAATATTTTTAAGTTAAACCTACAAATTTTAATCAAACAAAAGTTTTTGTGAAGGATGAATTTTGCAACTCAGTACATGATTTTTTAAGGAACCATCATGATGGGTATGACCAAAGTATATCCTCAGTTCAAACTTAATTTCCACAATAGCAGAGTGAATATTATTTGATATTAAAATTTTTAATCTTTTTTCTTCGGTACGCTGAAAAATATGGACTGCTATGTGCATATTATGCTAGTGCTAAATATTTTTCCATATACATAGTAAGTGCAAAACCCGAAAACCTCAAACTCATTTATATGAATACAGGGATCTATTCTCTATGATAAAGATATCACATTATTACTGAAAATTAAGAAAGAGAGAGAGTGTGGGAGATTAATTTGTTATTACGAGGTTACAAAAATTAAGTATGTTTAGTTTCTGCTAAAAATAAAGGGTTCTATTTAGGGAGTTCCTTATTGTTAGTGATTGAGACTAATGGATGAAATTAAGGAATAGGAGAGGT